CAAACCTCCTCCTCTGACTTTATAGTCACCCCAACCTCCCCACCCACCACCCACACCTGCGCACACTGTGGCATTCTATTGTATTGATATAAAAATGTTTATCCGTTCACCCATGGAAGGACATCTAGTTTGTCTTCAGTGGCTGGCAATCCATATTAATACGGCTGCTATCAATATTCATGTACAAGCTTTTTGAGTCAAAACAGATTTTCATTTTTCCAGGGTAAATGCTGAGGGGGAGCACTGAGTCATATGTAAGTATATTCTCAACTCTAAAAGAAAATTATAAACTTGCTACCAAAATGACAACCAATCCAAGCTTCCTGCCTGCAACAGATGAAATTTCCGGTTGCTCTATATCCTCTCTAGCTCTTGATATTGTCAGTATTTTTATTTTAGCCATTCCAATAGACACAAGCCAGCATGTTATCATGGTTTTAATTTGCATTCCCCTACTGCTAATCTTATTAAACATCTTTTCAAGTGAGTATTCTATTCATTTTTTAATTGGGCTGTTTGTATTCTTACTGTTGTTTTGTGAGTTCTTTACATATTCTTGAGAGCAGTCCACTGTCTTATATGTGGTTTGCAAATATTCTCTCCCTATCTGTACCTTTTCTTCTCATCCTCTTAATAATGTCTTTCACATAGCGAAAGCTTTTAATTTTGATGAAGTTCAATTTATCATGTTTTTTCTTTTATGAATCATGCTTTTGGTGTTATGCTAAGAACTCTTTGCCTAACTCTTGAGCATAAAGATTTTTTGCTGTCTTAAAATTTTTACAGTCTTGGGGCACCTGGGTGGCTCAGTGGGTTAAATAAAGCCTCTGCCTTTGGCTCAGGTCGTGATCTCAGAGTCCTGGGATCAAGCCCCACATCAGGCTCTCTGCTCAGCCGGGAGCCTGCTTCCCCCTCTCTCTCTGCCTGCCTCTCTGCCTACTTGTGATCTCTGTCTGTCAAATAAATGAATAAAATCTTTCAAAAAAAATTTTTTTTACAGTCTTACATTTAAATCTACAATTCACTTTGAATCAACTTTTGCATAAAGTATTGCAGTTTACATTTGAGGTTCACTTTTTTGCACATAGAGGATATATATCCAGTTGTTCTAATACCATCTTTTTCACTTAAATCGCTTTTACACCTTTGTCAAAAACCAAATGGCCATATTTGTGTGCGTTTCTGAACTGGCAATTCTGTGCCTCCAGTCTAGGTATCTAGCCCTTCACCAACACCACAGTCTCTATTATTTTGGCTTTACGTAGAAGTCTTAAAACTGGGCAGCATGATTCTTGCTTTTTAAATGAAGAACGTGAAAGTAATGTTATTCAATAGAGCTGACAATATCCACATAACAACTTCTAGTTTCAAATTAAAATCAGTATTCTGGAAATAGGACAGAAAAAAAAAGTAAATATGAGGGAAAGGGAAAGAAAAAGTGAAATGAGGAGAAAAAAGAAAGTAGGAACATGACAGAGATACACATAAAGAGGTAGAAACACAGAAAGAAAAAGAAGGAAATAGGAAAAGGGAACAGGAAGAGGTGGGAAAATAAAAAGAAAATGGTTCTCTACATTTTCTACAGGGTAGAAATATCTACCCTGTCCACCTCCCAGGGTTGCCATGAAGATCAAATGAGATGATGGAAGGGAAACTGCTTTATAAACTGAAACTTCTTATACAAATATACATAACTGCCCCTCCTCATCAGAGGTACAGGACTAGGAAACTGTTAGACACAGACGACAGAGTCTGGCTCAACTATGTAGACCCTTGAGTGAAATCTGTAACATCTTCAGCGGCAGCAAATTCAGAAGTCTTTCCAGACAGTGGCATTAGAAACAGGAACGACAAGGTTTAGTAACTAGCTCTGGGTACCTCTCTGTAACACTCTGACTTAACGGACATTTAGATATTGGGATCTTGCTTTCTTTAACAAGAAAATTCACTATTTCCTTCTTTTTTCTATACTTATTGATTCTTGAGAAAAAAATCATGGTTAACAAATATAAATGTAATCACAGAAGAAACATGACACACATTCTTTTAAAACTAGAAATAGGATTGGACATATTCCAAAATAAAAGCTTAGCTCATAATTTCTGTTATAAAATTCTTCAACAGATACTACAACATATACAACATACATGTGTGTATGCATGCGTGTGCATTTTCTGTCCTTAAAAAATGCTGTAATGGCCTTCGGTATTTCGTGTAGCTTTCTTTAACTTATAGACCCAAGAAACCATCCACCCCCAGCTATATTTATAAGCGCTTAGGCTAATGATGTTTACCTTACTTCCCCTATTTGACAACCACAGCTAATCATTTAATGTATTACCCAGTACTTAAAACATCACTGGAATTCTATAAATATATAAACACATGGTGGCCACACCAAATACTTCTTGTTTATTATTGTGTGTTTACTCATTCAGTCACTAATTTATTTACTAGGTTAAGTCCACCTCGTGCTGTGGAAATGGAGGTAATATAGCATACCATAAGAAGACAGGCTTCAGACACAGACATCTCAGTTCAAATCCTGACGAAGAAGAGCTTTTTTTTAATCCAGCCGAGGGACTCTAGAGAAGTTAATAATTTGGCCTTATTAACTTCCTAATCTTTAAAATTAGGAAAATACCCTGTATCAACAGATGTCATGTTAAATAACGATAATGTGGACATGTCAGCACATCATAGATCCTTGAATACCTTAGTTCCTCATGTGCTAGCAAGAGCGCTCAGCTGGCCATTCCAGCCTCTTTGACACTGCTTAGAAGGGACCCCCATCCATTAGGCTTGATATAAAAGCCCGTTCTGGAATTTCTCCACCTTACTGGCTCTCCATCTATTTTTAAATCTAACCTGCCTCTAGGTCCTAATCTCACTCATCTATTTCCATTATAATGTGGCAGCAGTCCTATTCTACTAGGACAGCAGCTGGAAGGAGAGCAGGTAGGGCAGCCCACCCCAGATCTTGCCTGGAGCCCTACCATGCAGGTGTGAGGATCCTGAGCACCAGTCCCGGAAGCCGCATGCGTCCAACAGCTGCCTCCATGCTCATTAGCTCATTCTCAATCCAAGGCGCATGCTCCTAACAAATGATTTACATATGTACATAGATTTCATCCCAGATTAACCTGAGAAATTGGCAAACATCAGTAGTTAGAATATAAAACTTTCACCCAGGAAACTGGAAAGCTATCAGTTTCCAGGTGGTAAATAATGGAAGAAAATCCTGCTTCCTTTATTCCTGCACAGTATTACAGAAAGTAAAGGGAAAATCATTAATAGACAAATATAATCTGTCTGTGCACTTGAGGTTTTAAAGGGGGCTTCCTAGTGACATGAAGCATGCCCTGACACTGCTGGAATTCCTAGAGCATGCTCCAATTTCCCTCCCCTGAGGATCCTGAAAACCTGCTGGCACACAATGGATGTTACCCCCATTTAAGGTCACAATAGAACAGATTGGAAGTTACTCATCCAGAAATTTTTTTTGGAAGTGTTCTCGCTAAGTTGTGATGGGGTATAAGCAATTAGTTTCCCAAGAGAAATAATCACTTACAAATTCCCAGTGAAGTAAGGCATGCAGAACGAGGGCTAGCATCTCCACTGCCTATGGCTAACAAACACTGTGATCTCAGAATAAGCTAAAATCACCCAAGATCCTAACTAAAAGTTGGATGAGCAAGCCAGAAATAACTGCCAAATGGAGAGACAACTAATTGCCCTGATGACAATCTCGATATCTGGAAGCTGAAGACTGCCAACAAAATTCTATAAAGAAGTTCAATGTTAGGGGCGCCTGGGTGGCTCAGTGGGTTAAGCCTCTGATTTTGGCTCAGGTCATGATCTCAGGGTCCTGGGATCGAGCCCCACATCGGGCTCTCTGCTCAGCAGGGAGCCTGTTTACCCCTCTCTCTGCCTGCTCTCTGCCTACTTGTGATTTCTCTCTCTGTCAAATAAATAAATAAAATCTTTAAAAGAAGAAGAAGAAGAAATAATTCAATGTTAAACATGCAGCAATGTTTAGGGTTAGCCTTGGTGCTGGAGGCCACCCTCACAGTGCTCTGCAACCTCTCCTAGCAGCCAGCCCACAAGGAGCCAAAGAAATGGTTCAGGTAGGAATAGACAGGTTTTCTCTGCTCACCAAGGGTCTCAGTGGTTCTAAACTGCCTCACTAAACGTGTTGTAAGGCATTCTTCATTTTTCTTTTGGAGTAAAAGAAAGCAAATGTTAAGGGTCCATATTCTCCATTTCTTCTTTTAACCCCCACTCAGGTTCTCAGCCCTCTAGGTGGCCTCTGTCAATAACTCAACACTTCCTCTTCTCAGGACATGTGCAGTTTCATTTCTCTTTAATATTCTCCCTGTTCCTGAAGCTTAGATAGGTCCCTTCTACCTCCAGCAATAAAACCACCTAGCATGTAGTGAAAAGGAAAGTCCGAGCAGAGAGACATGCATATTTTCCTTGGATTATCATATCATCACAAAATAGCACTAAAACATGAGCAAAAACATTTGGAGAACAGCAGACATACATTGCCAGGGTTCAACTGAGACAAAGGGAATTCTAGCACAATTCTTCATACATGCCCAAGATCTGCTTAAAGATCAGACCCACGCTGCCACTAACTCCGGGAATACACCCCTTCTCACTGCTAGAAAGGTCCATCCCAGAGCTGCTCTTTCATCCTTTCAGATTCTTAAGAAGTGCTGTAACCCTCCTCCCAGATGTGCAGAAGACACGAACAGATGTCCTTTCTGAAAAGTCACTGCAACTAACCACGCTAGGGGGTACTCTACAGGCCCTGGAACATTGCAATAGGTTTTATTTTAACAACACACGTGGTTCTTCACTCAACAAATCACAAGTGGGAGCATCATTCCACTGGAAAAGAGAGATTATTCCACATGAGGAAGTTTCAAGAGACTGACCAAGTCCAGTCATCCTCCCCGTAGTCCTCCTCTTCAGGGTTTACTTGTCACCCTTACCTGTACAAGTGACGATTGTCTTCAAAATCTTCCTGACCCCATTTTCCCTTGATGTCTTCAATAACATGATTCTTGAGAAATTTTTTCAGCAGCTGAACCGTTTGTTTGCGGGTTACTTCTGGGCCAAAGTTCTGACTGCACCTCAACAGCTCATGCAGCCAATCCACAGCTTCGGCAGCCGTGAAACAACGTTCATAACTTTTGAAACGACAGCGATGTTTCCGTAAGGGCATCCTAGCACGAAAAAGCTCAACTGTTTCATTCCACTGGGGAAGAAAAGGAGAAAAGCATTTAGTAACCAACTGATTTTTTTTAAAGGTTATTATGTCCCAAATACTTAAGACCGTGAATGCAGTTCTTCCATTGAAGAGACTGCCTTGATGACAGAGACTTGAATTTTTTTTTTTAAAGTAGGCTGAATGGAGGAACAAGGTGGAACTAGAGTCGGACACTTAACCAACTGAGCTACCCAGGCACCCCATGGAATCATATAAATTTTACTTTTCTTCTGGACATCTTATATCAAGATTACATTTTATTTATGTTATTCATCTGTTAATACGTATGATAGTAGTTCATTTTTATTGCTATGCAGTATTCCATTGCATGAATAACCAGGTGAGCCACCCAGGCACCCCACTATTTATCTTTTCTTAAGTTGATGGACATTTGGGTTGTTTTCTTCTTCTAAGAATAGTGCTCCTATGAACATTGTGTTTTTTGACCAACATAAATATATGTTCTGTTGGATATATAATTAATGGAAATTGCTGGAGTATGAGGTGTGCATACATTTAACTTTTACAAAGTTTGCCAAACTGTTTTCCATAGTGGTTGTACTGATTTATATTCCCATCAGCAACATATGAGGTTTCCAGTTGTTCTACATTCTCAGCAGCACTTAGTGTTGCCTATCTTTTCATTTTAGCCGTTTTGTAGGCATGCAGTAGTTTTGCATTGTGGACAACTTTTGCATTTCATTTCTAATTAATAAAGTTGAACATCTTTGCGTATATTATGGTAAGTTTAAAGATCTTTTCATGTGAAATGCCTGTTTAAGTTATTTTCCTTTTTTTTTTTTTTTCTGTTGGAGTGTCTGTCTTTTCATTCATGTTTTGAGGGGTTTTTTTGTTTGTTTTAGAAATTCTAGTTAAATGTTATCCTACAGTGGCTTGTCTTGTTTCTTGTGTGTTTTTAAGATGTTAAAAATTTATTTAAATCTGGACCAACTTAATTTGGAGGATGGCATATAACAGTGTCAAATGAAGTAGAAAGATTAATATATACCTAAGGCAAAATGATGTCTGAATTTGGTTACAAGGAAGACAAGATTCAGAATCAGAGTAGAATTCAATTGCATCAAGTTAGAAGGTAGTTAAAGAAAGTAGAAAAAGTAAATGACCAGTTAAGCGTTTGCTTGCTGAATCCCTACTATGTGTTGGGTGCTATGCTCTATGTCTAGGGTGCATGCTTGCACAGACCCAGACTTGGTCCTCTATGCCCCTGGTGTTGTGTGGAAGAATAGTGGACCATTGTTGCAGAGGGGGTTGGGCAGGAGGAGGAATAAAGAGAAACCTGGAAGAAAAGGCCTCATCAGAAGGGAAAAGGAGCCAGAAGGGGGAAAAATAAAAAGAATATGCCAAGATCAGAACTGTAGTTGTTAGAAAAAAGATTTTCTGATTTCAGTGGGAAGGGAGGAGAGAAGTAAAGGGAGGAGAGAAGTTTGTGCCGTGATACACCTGAAAGAGAAGGCTGGGAGGAGGGAGAATGGTTATGAGAGTACGACTGTGAGTTTCTAGGACTTTAAGGAGGGCTGGCAGGAAGCCTAGGGTCTGAAAAAGCTGTTGGTGTAACTATGTAGGAAGGATACCATATGTGAACATTTCGTTTAATCTAGGGAAGGCTGATGAAGGGGTGGATGTCTAAGGTTTGTTGTGTTGTTGTTTTTTTTAAATAGGAAAATATTTTGCAGAATTTTTAAACATGTTTTGACATCAGACACTATGTCTCGTACATCTCTCATTTTTTCTCTCCCTATAATGCTTTTCATGTAATAAACAGTACTTATTCGTTGAATGAAGGAAAGTCATATTAAACACAGGGCTCCAAGAAGTGAATTACACATATTTGGCTCAGTTTTACCCATAGTTTTGATCATTTGTTTCTCATTAATGTAAGAATCCATTAAGTTCACGTGACGGGACAACTTGGTGGTAATATCTCCAGTACATACTTATTGAATGAATAAAATACATTTTTAAAAGTTATTTTTTTTTTCTTTTGAGTGGGAAGTTTGCAAATAAAAGATTGTCAAGGCTGGGGGCACATAGGTGGCTAATTCAGTTGAGCATCCCACTCTCCATTTCAGCTCAGGTCTTTATCTCAGGGTCATGAGTTCAAGCCCTGAGTTAGGCTCCACACTGGTCATGGAGCCTACTTTAAAAAAAAAAAAAAAAAAGGAACAAAAAACTATATGGTTCCATTTACATAAAGTCAAAAAGCAGGCAAAACTAATCCATGGTATTAGAAATCATAACAGTGGTTAATTTGTAAGTAGGTCAAAACAAAGAAAGGCAAGGGGTACCTATGGAGTGCTAGGAATGTTACATCTCTTGATCTATGTATCAGTTACACAGGGTGCTCACATGAAAACTTACTGAGTATACTCATTTCATTATACCACCTATACCTATAAACACAAACATAAGTTTTAAACAATCTCCACATATTTTTAATCACGGTCATTTTAATTCTCTGCTGACACCTAGCCTTCCTGTTAGTCTTGATCAAACATGTTGGGAGTGGGGAAGGAAGAGGAGTTAATAAAAAAGATTTTCAGGGGCACCTGGGTGGCTCAGTGGGTTAAGGCCTCTGCCTTCGGCTCAGGTCATGATCCCAGGGTCCTGGGATCGAGCCCCGCATGGGACTCTCTGCTCAGCAGGGAGCCTGCTTCCTCCTCTCTCTCTCTCTGCCTCCCTCTCTGCCTACTTGTAATCTCTGTCTGTCAAATAAATAAAAAAAATTAAAAAAAAAAAAGATTTTCATTTATTTTATGTTGATTCAATTATCATAATCATTATCAATTAAACTTAATGCATAGTACTTTATTTTTTTTTTTTAAAGATTTTATTTATTTATTTGTCAGAGAGAGAGAGGGAGAGAGAGCAAGCACAGGCAGACAGAATGGCAGGCAGAGGCAGAGGAAGAAGCAGGCTCCCTGATGAGCAAGGAGCCCGATGTGGGACTCGATCCCAGGACGCCGGGATCACGACCTGAGCCGAAGGCAGCTGCTTAACCAACTGAGCCACCCAGGCGTCCCTACTTTATTTTTTTAAAAGACTTTATTTATTTATTTGACACAGAGAGAGATCACAAGTAGGCAGAGAGGCAGGCAGAGAGAGAGGGGGAAGCAGGCTCCCTGCTGAGCAGAGAGCCCTATTCGGGGCTCGATCCCAGGACCCTGGGATCATGACCTGAGCTGAAGGCAGAGGCTTTAACCCACTGAGCCACCCAGGCACCCTGCATAGTACTTTGTACATTACTTAATAAATGTAATGAAGACATGGGCCCCTGGAATCCTATATTTCAAACCAGAAGTAAATATGCCTATTAATTGACTCAAGCTGGTGAGTAGTTCCTCTACTTATTTTAATTACGCTATAATGCACATTGTAACAAATTAAATGCAGAAGCATATATAAAAGAGATTGCTCAGTCCCTCTCGGATCCTACATACCTATCACACATTAAAAATCCTTTTTAATGTATATTATTTATTACTAGGATTGTTGTTTGCTTTCCTTTTTAAGAAATGTGATCAACTGGGGTACCTGTGTGGCTCAGTGGATTAGGCCTCTGCCTTCGGTTCAGGTCTTTGTCTCAGGGTCCTGGGATAGAGCCCCACATCGGGCTCTCTGCTCAGCAGAGCCTGCTTTCCCACCCACCCAGCCCCTGCCTGCCTCTCCGCCTACTAATGATTTCTCTCTGTCAAATAAATAAATAAAACCTTTAAAAAAATGTAATCAATCCTACTGTACACATTCCCCAGTTTGTTTTTGCACTGAACATAGCATAGATGTCTTTTTGTGTCAATACCTATAGATCCAGGCCACTCTTATGAATGAATGAATGCCATAATTTACTTAACCATTTTCTAACTGATGGGCATGGATCTGTTTCCACGTTGTTGTTTCAAAATATTACTTTAAAACCCCTGGGGCACCTGGGTGACTCACTGCTTAAGCATCTGACTCTTGATTTCACCTCTGGTCATGAGGGCCCTGAGAGAGAGCCCCACCTCAGATAGGGTGGGCTCTGTGCTCTGCATGGGGTTGGCTTGACCTTGTCCCTCTCTCTCCCCCACACTTACCCATCTCTCTCTCTCTCTTATTCTTTCAAATAAATAAATAACCGAAAGGACCAATGTTTTTATTTGTGAAAGAATGGATTTATAAATTTTATCAGCATATTTAAATCAGATGTAACAATTCACAGTCCTACCAGCAATATAAGAGCATGCTGCCTTATCTGCGGCCATCACTAGATGTTACCATTTTCGTTTCTGCCAATCCATGGTCAAGAAATTATGTCTCTATACTTTGTTCGTTCCTATCTTCATCTTAAGTAATTTTTGTTTATTTATCTGAGACTTGACCTTTTTCTATTGGGTTGTCTTCCTCTTTTTCTTAATCAATTTTTTTAAATGTTTAAATCTAGCATTTAAGTCAAAGTGCATAGAAGTCAGGAAAGTTAGTCTATTTTGCTCAGTTCAGTATCTTCACAACTGAAGACAGTCCCTGTCTTATGGTACATGTGTTTAATAAAGGTGCTCTGAATGAATATGTAATATTAATCTTTTTTAAAAATATTAGAATTGTTTTCTCCTGGCTAATCAATTTATACAGTCTCTAGCTATATGAAGGTTTTGTTGTTGATGGTGATGTTAATCAAACAAATATATCTTTATTTTCTTTATAGCTTCAGGATTTCCTGAATCCTGAATCCCCTTCGTTTAGAGGAAGGAAATTAGAGATATCCCCATCCAGTGGTATTAAAAATATTTATCAAAGTTTTCTTTTAATATTTTAAAGGGATTTTTAAAAAATATTTGAATCTCCAACTAGAATTTTTTATGGCAGGAGGAGAATATCTCTAACTTTATTTTTTTCCAAATGGAGAGTCAATTATGTCGCCCTTTTTTCAATGAATTGCAATATTAAGTTACTTTACATAGTATCTTTCTTGATTCTATTCTGAACTCTCCTTTCTTTCCCACTGAGCTATTTATGTCTTTCTATGCAATACTACACCATTGTGATTACAGTCAATTAAAACTAAGTTCAAATGTCTGGTAGATCAAAGTCACCTATAGTCTCCTTAATTCTCATACATTTACTCTTCTGAATGACCTTTTCATTCAGTGCATTCTACACACAGGAAAAAAAAAAATTATGTCTGGATTTTTACTGATTCTGTTGATAGCTGGTTTTTATTTCACACTAGAAATTTTTCTAATAAGACATCTTTATCAGGGGCGCCTTGCCTTCGGCTCAGGTCATGATCCCAGGGTCCTGGGATTGAGCCCCACATCAGGCTCTCTGCTTGGCAGGGAGCCGGCTTCCCCCTCTCTCTCTGCCTGCCTCTCTGCCTACTTGTGATCTCTGTCTGTGAAATAAATAAATAAAATCTTAAAAAAAAAAAAAAAAGACATCTTTATCAAAGCTTGCATCTCTTAAAAAAGTAACTTATAAAATGAGTTTTTAATTTATGTTGACTTTTAATGGCATTTATCATTATGGATTATATTTACTCAATACATGAAACATTTCAGAATTCTAAAACCTAGTGAGACCATGATCTTTAAAAAATTAAAAATAAATTTTAAAAACTAAAAAACCATAATCTCTTTTCCTACTTACTTCTAAAAATAATTATCTTGTTACTCGACTACTCCATCAAAAAAGAAGAATTATGTTTTCTGTAAAATAACTCAAAATTCTCAGTTACACTTGGAAGGAAAATATCCTATATGTCAACAAAGAACAAGACAGAGCTTAAAAATGTGATTTTTTTCCGATGACATATTACTTGGAGAGAAAATCTTTATAGCAAAGGGAACAAAGGAGATTTGTTCGTGATTTAAAAAACTTTGTATTACTTATTTATCCCTTAAACTAGGGATCTGAAATAAGGACTCATACAACTGTCTTTACTTCACATCATGAGCCAAACTACAAAATACAGCAGTGAGTGTTGAAACGTGTTTCCTGTTCTTTTCTCCAGGATATTGATTCCATTTCCTTCCTTCTTAGTACCAAAAATATTGTGATAATGGTGCTATCATGCACCTGGCCTCGGAGTGCAGAGACAACCAAACTCTACATCTAGCTGAATTTGCCAAGACTAGCAGGGAGAACCTGATCAAGTCAGTTCACCCCTTTAGGACTCAAGAGGAGGAGGAAACCGGACTAGACAATTGTTCATGTCCATTCTAGTTCTCAGATTCAGTGACAGCTGTAGGTGTTTTAAAGTTTACCACTTGCATCAGATGGTAGTGGTAACTCAGCATTAAGTTCAAAGACTCAGTAGATTAAAGCAGTTTTTATAAAAGCAATTTTCTTTCTCCTCATTATTTCTATTAAAATGATGAACTATAGTTGACCCTTGAACAAGAGAGGTTTGAACTACCTAGGTCCACTTTATATAAAGATTTTTATCAACAAATACAGTACAGTACTGTCAATGTATTTTCTCTTCCTTAGGATTTTCTCTTTTTAAAAGATTTATTTATTTGAGAGAGAGAGAAAGGAAGAGAGCACAAGCAGAGGGGAGGCACTGGGGGAGAAGCAGACTCCTTTACTGAGCAGGGAGCCCAAGACCCAGGACTCAGTCCCAGCACTCTGGGATCATGACCTAAGTCAAAGGCGGAGACAATCAACTGAGCCATCCAGGCATACTTCCTTATGATTTTCTTAGTAACATTTTCTTTTCTCTAGCTTACTTTATTATAAGAATACAGGATGTAATATATACAACATGCAAAATGTGTTAATTGACTCTTTATGTTATCAGTAAGACTTCCAGGGAACAGCAAGCCATTAGTAGTTAAGTTTTGGGAAGTTACACATGGACTTTCAACTGTGCATGGGTGGGCACTCCTATTAGCCCCACATTGTTCAAGGGTCAACTGTATTTGTATGTGGGTTACAAAAGTGAAAGCTATTTGAATGAAGATGAGTAAGTTGCTAATTTAACTTCCATATTCACCATGTAATGACTTAGAATCAGTCATTTGATTTTTGGCATAAAAATTTACCTCGTCCATAAAATGTTATTTTCAGATAAGACTTTGGTGCTTTAGAAAATGGAGGTGTACATGATTTGAAAAAGTAAAGGGAGTCATGAAAGGAAGAAGTAAAGGCCTGCTCCTTCTATGCCAATGATTTTCCCAAGCCTTTCCTGAAGACTGGATTGAGGGTGATCTTGGGAGAGGGGGGAAACGATAAGTGAGGAGAGCGAGATGGACTAGAGAGGACTAGTCACAAACTTCGTGATTTATCAGGTAAAAGTTGTAAGGCACAACTGAATTATGCTCCAAGAAACATTTATACATATAATGAGGTTAAATCATCTACAATGATGACAGAGATCACAGATATAAAGCAGGAAAACTCACTTAAAAAAAAAAAAAAATTTGCTACAGTTTTCTGTGCTTCCAAAATCTTGGTTTAAGATCAAAGGTCTCAAATAGAATAAATTTGACAAGTGAATGGACTACCTGGGAAGTTCTGGTAAAACTGAAGTGCTTTCATTAATTAGTCACATAATTAAATTTCCTGCTTAATTTGTCAGTCTTAGCTAAACTTGACTTGAATATCACTTCTTAGGGGCTGACAGCTTCTGGAGAACAAAGAACATGTTTCTTTATAAATTCCTTTGATATTATGTTAATATGACTCAGAATGAAGCAGTGCCTTATTACATAGGTACTATACGTCCACGAAAAGTAGTAATTCACACAATTCAGTGAATGAGATTTAAAACAGTTCCAATCATGATGTAACTTTTTTTAGTCTAAAGCAGGAAAGATGAGAACTACCTTCCCCAAGATTCTGAGCTTCTGTTTCCCTTGCATAAGTGCTGTGAATAAATTTGGGGGAGAGGGATGTTCCCCACCCCCCCAACAAAGGAGAGTAAAGTTTTTGAAAGTCCCTGATGAAGCACAATCTCTATCTCATCCCTAAACATGGACCTACCAATAGCCCAAATTCCATATGGTTCCAAACCGTAGAAGCAATTGTGAAGCCTAAGTAAATATGAAAACATTAAAAACAAAACAAAACAAAAAAACTATTTGTCCCCTGTCAGCACCATCCACATCTCCTAGAGGCTAGCCCAAAGGAAAATCTAAATTTATATTTGCTGATTTTTTTTTTTAATGAATGAATCATTATATGCATGCCTATAGCAGATTGTTGGCAAAGATGAGTGCTGTAACTCCTCCCACCTTGCGCCTATCTTTTCCTGGATATCCGTTAGGTTACACAGAACAATGAAACTAATTCCCAAATTACATGTGGCCATAAGTGTTTTACCACGTATGGTACCACAAGGAGGGTCCCCTCCTCCCAATTACCAGCAGGCTTCCATAGAAAGTCTCCAAACACCTGCAATTGACATTACCAAATTGTCACCACTTATTCCATTATAGTGACTCTTTAAAACGCAAATCACTAAAATCACTTGCTCCAGGTCACAAAGAAATCAACTAAGCATCAGAACCCTGAATACCAAAGTTCTTCTCCCAGGAGAAAAAGCAGCACCCTGGACCTTCAAAGTCTGTAAAGCCTCTTTCAGAACATCCGTTCGGGACACCCGCTGATTTAGGTCGATGCTGACAGAACCAGAAACGCTCCCTGGGAGCCAGAAAAGCGGCCAAGACCCACGTCCGTTCCGGTCACCGTTAGAAAGAACCTCAGGTGTCACCACAAGTGACACTCAGGACGGAGACACGCCCTGCCCGTTCTGTGGCGATGGGTGAGTGTTACAAGGGGTGGAGGGCCCTGAGGTTACCAACTCAGACCTTCCTCTCCCCGCCACAGGCGTTCGATTCCAGAGGACAAAGGGGGTGGGGGGTGGGGTCACCCTGGTCTTTCGGGCGCTTTAAATCCGAAGGCGTCACTTACTACCGAAAACCAGGCCAATGTCTCAGGAACAAAGCTGCTCCCACCCATTCCCGTCGAGCTCCTGACCCGGTAGGCCTTTCTTTGAGAATCATTCAGAAAACGGCCGCCCTGGAGAAAACGGGTCCCGCCTCGGGCCGCGCCAACCTTGCAGAGGCGAGGACTGACAAGCACGCGGCCCACTGCCAGGCCCGGGGACCCTGGGGCAGGTGGCTTCGCCCAGGCTCCGGCACCTCCACTCACCAGCTTGGTGGCTCGGTACGGGCCGGGCCCCACGATGCGGTGTTCCATGGCGGGTACGCAGCTGCGGCGGCGGCGGCGGCGGCGGAGGCCGCCCCAGCGCGGATCCCCGCGAGCTGGCGGCGCCGCAGTTTGAATTGTGAGCCTGTGCGCTGCGGACGCTGATTGGGTGGCGTGGAGGCACGTGACGGGAACTGAGGGGCGGAGACACCCAGGCCTCGGGATTCCCGGCACACCCCCTCCCAGCCAGGTAGGCGCGGTGACAGAGCTGGCGTCTCCACCCAAACTGCTGTGGCGGTGGGAGCTCTGCCTGTCCACCTGTGTCCCGCGCGTGTACACCGGCGTGTGCGCAGACCGTGAGGGGTGCCCCCGCTTCGCCCTGGGGCGAACCTGGCCCGCCGGACTTCCCCAAGGCCCACCCCCAACGCTGTCTCTGCTAGAGGGTCAATGAAACCGTGGACTGGATGAACAAATCCATGTCCGCCTTTCGTAGGTAGAGTAAACGTGCAGGGGCTGCTAATAGGATTGGGACGGGTAGGTAGTGGAAATGAAGCCCGTGCATCTCCTCTTACAAGTGGAAGGACACTGAAACACTGGGTAAGGGGACTTGACCCACGGAGTGTCAACAGCGTGTAGGAACAATAACGAGCTGGAAACAGTCCCTATTCAGCTTCCTGGTTTTTTGTTTTTGTTTTCTTTTGGTAGAGTAATCCCTTGAATTCGAATTCTGTGTTTTATATCAGCCTGAAAATTTATGTCTTTTGCCATTGGGCTATGAGTTCTGTTTTACTGCTCAGAATTTTCTCCCTAGAAATTGCTGGTCTGATTTGCTATTTGTTAAAAGGGACAAATGAGGTCACCACTCTATACCTTCAACTCCAGTTCAAAGTTCAAATCTGGGGCCGGGGGGGGGGCGGGCAGTTCATATCTGGTCACTTCAGTGAGTATCCAGGATAAGATACCATAATAAAAATCTGGGTAAGAGAAGCCTGGGTGGCGCCGTCAGTTAGCACCTGCTTTCTCCTTGAGGTCATGAGATCGGGGTCCTAGGGTATGCTTCTCCTTATCCCTCTGCCCTTTCCCCTCCCCCACCCCAATTCGTGCTCACTAGCTGTCTCTGTCTCTCAAATAAATAAATAAAATCTTTTTTTTTTTTAAGATTTTCTTTATCTATTTGACAGAGAGAGAGATCACAAGTACGCAGAGAGGCAGGCAGAGGGGTGGGGGAAGCAGGCTCCCCGCCTAGCAGAGAGCCTGATGCGGGGCTCCATCCTACGACCTTGAGAATGATCTGAGCCACCCAGGCGCCCCTAAATAAAAATCTTTTTTTTTTAATCTGGGTAAAATATCAGACTCCCACATTCATTCGGTGCATCCTAGAAAGCCCCCCAAAATTCTGAGATGACATGTGTGTATTACTTTTTTAATCAGAAAAAGCAGGGTGCCTCCATGGCTCAGTGGGTTAAAGCCTCTGCCTTCGGCTCAGGTCATGATCCCAGAGTCCTCTCTGCTCGCTGGGAGCCTGCTTCCCCTTCTCTCTCTGCCTGCCTCTCTGCCTACTTGTGATCTCTTTCTGTCAAATAAATAAATAAAATCTTTTAAAAAAAGCAATAAAGGTAATATAAAGATAATTTTTACCTTCAAGGAGTGAATCCTTATCAGAAAGGACTCCAATGGGGCATAGAGAAAGAAAAGTAATTTCAGAACCTTGTCTGTCACCACCACCAACCATTGTGGAACTGGAATCTGATACAAAAGGTTATGCCCTGCTTCCCCAATGTTTTCCCAGGAGTCCATCATGAGCTATAGACAAGATAATTCCTTTTACTGGGAAAAAAACATATCTCCAAATGATCTGCATATCAGAGGCCACAGTCTCTGTGAATGCATTTTAAATTGGGCTGCTGCTAATCTACCAGTCTTTTGGCATCACATAAAAACAATTGGGAAATTTCTGTGCATACTCTTCCCTGCCATATTTAAGTGTAGGGCCATCAAGATCCTGTAGAAGCTTTGACTCAGCCTCTGAACATCTTTATAAGGGACACTGAGTACTGGCAATTTCACCATCACAAGCTGACTTGTCACTGACAATGGTAAATTCCAAGCTGTGGAGCAAAAAGCAACAGAGGTATCAAAGTTCCTGACTGCTGAATTCAGTCATCCTACTGCCTGGAAAGTCTCCCAGCTGGTTGGATGGGTTATTTTGGAAGAACTTGTCTGCTGAAACCCAAGTCATTCACTGCTTACGTTAGACTTTAGCCATTTGTATTGTACTGCAACTACATTAAGTTACGTTCCTTGGTATTTAAAGTCCATTTGTTGAGGTTCTTAAAAGTTGTAAAATCTGTGATTTGATTTACAAAGCTTTTGGTCCATTCTGTCACCACTCTGTTGGGAAATGTTCCCCCAGAAACTGTATTAATACTCTTCACTCATAGGGGCATCATATTCTTTGGGGATATGGATGATAGAGAAAGGATAAAAACATATGGAAAATGTAAAACCATACTATTTCATTGAAACTGTTAAATCATATTTTTATTTCAGCGTTTAAAAAATAAATACCACAAAAAATAGAGATTTACATTCATTCATTCACTTATTCACTATGTCTGTGTTCCTACAATGTGCTGGGCACTGTTACAGTCACTGGAATATTTTAGGAGAAAAGACAAAGTTCCTGTTCCCAGGAACTGACATCCTAGTTGGGGAGGAGACAGCAAGCCAACTGTACACATAAAAATATATATAATTTATCAGGTGGTAATTGAGTGTCGGAAAGAAAAGTAGAAGAAAAAGGAGAGGATGTTGGAGACAGGAATGCTATTTTGGCTCAGGTGCCCAGCAGAAGTGACATTTGAGTAAACAATCTGAGTCAAACAAAGGAGTTACTGTCTAGGGGGAGGACCTTCTAAACTGATGGAATAACAACCCACATGAAAGCGTGAGGTGGACACATGATGGCCACGTCCAGGGAACATGGGAAGGAGGTCTGTGTTCTCTAGAGTGGAGTGAGTGAAAGGAAGAAGGGAGGAGATAGGTTTGGACACAAAGAGAAGAGCTCCTTAGGTTTTAGAATTTGGATCTTACTCTGAATTGGCTGAAAATGATTAGAAAGTTTTGAGAGTGTGTCAAGATCTCAGTAGGTTTTTTTAAAGCATCTGGCCACTGTGTGGGTAGCGGATTGGAATGGGGGTAGGTGTGGAGTGAAAGCAGAGAAACCAGTTGGAAGCTTGCAATACTCTAGGAGAAAACAATAAATAAATGTGGTTGATAAAATGCTTGGCACATGGTGTCAATCAACAAATACTTGTTGAAGGAATAAATGGATAAGCAAGTAAAACTAAGCTTCATAAGTTATTCATCTCCTAAAGATTCATTCAATCCATTCTGTCTCTAAATATGTCTTACATACATATACTCTGCAGTATAATAGCTTTTATATTTTCAGTATGACCTATAAAATTTGCCACTGAACATAATACTCTGTTCTTATTTTTAAGAATTATCTGCACTCGCTCCTTCCTTTTAAGTCTGAAAAGACAAAATCCATACCCAATGTCTTGTGCTATAATCACACACACACATACACACACACACACCCCTCCCCAGCCACTTCACAATCAAACCATTACAGTTCTAAGTTAGCATAATAAAACATTTGCCAGAGAAGCAGCTGAATGGAGTCTCATATTTGGGCATAGTTCATTTTCTTGCACATCAGGACAGGACTTCTTTGTTGCTATCACTAAGTATAATATCTTCATATCTAGGAAAGCCACTTGACAAAAATTTTTTTTAAAGATTTTATTTATTTATTTGACAGACAGAGATCACAAGTAGGCAGAGAGGCAGGCAAAGAGTGAGGGGGGAAGCAGGCTCCCGGTTGAGCAGAGAGCCCGATGCGAGGCTCGATCCCAGGACACTGAGATCATGACCTGAGCCAAAGGCAGAGGCTTAACCCACTGAGCCACCCAAGTGCCCCTGATGACAAAAATTTTAACCAGCATTGGTCTGGCCAAGGAATACCGAATAAATTCAAGGAACCAGATCATGCAAACAGGAAAGCCATTTGGAAGGTAGTTAAATGAATACAGACATGAAGATCCATGAGCAGTGGAGTGTTATGAAATCAGCTGCGTAATATTGGACAAGCCTCTTCTCCTGTGTGTCAGTTTCTAATTTAAAAAAAATGGAAATAATAGTGGTATCTGTTTCATAGAGCTACTGAAAGACTTACTTAAGGAAGTACAAGCAGATTTCTTAGAGTTCTGCTTTCCTTGTATGGTAGGCAGAATTCCAAGACTGTCTCCAAGATTCCTAGACCCAGTGTCTCTACTGCTCCTCCCATTTTCAGTCAAACACGACCCCAGGTACTGCTGTAAAGGGAATGAGCCTATGCTATAAAGGTTCCAAATCAGTTGACCTTGGAATAGGGAGATTATGTAGATGAGCCTGACTTAATCACATGAGCCCCTGAAGAGAAAAGTTTTCTCCAGCAGAAGTCAGAGATTTGAAATGGAAGTGAATTCTGTCACCCTGAATGAACACAGAAGCAGATTTTTCCCCCAGAGCCTCCACAGGAGAAATCAGCCTGGCTGAGATCTTAATTTCAGGCTTCTAACACCTTTTAACACCTAATACACTCAGCAGAGAGCACAGTCACCCCACCCCAGACTTCTGACTTGCTGAACTGTAAGCAAATAAACAGGTGTTGTTGGTTTTTTTAAAGATTTAAAGATTTTATTTATTTATTTGACAGACAGAGATCACAAGTAGGCAGAGAAGCAGGCTCCCCGTGGAGCAGAGAGCCCGACATGGGGCTCCATCCCAGGACCCTGGGATCATGACCTGAGCAGAAGGCAGAGGCTTTAACCCACTGAGCCACCCAGGCGCCCCAACAGGTGTTGTTTTTAATTGTTAAATGTATTATAATTCTTCATATGACAATAAAAAACATACATCTTATATACATAAGTTCTCAATTAATGTCTGTTCTAGCTACTACATGGCAAAAGAGGGGATAGTAGAAACATCAGGACTTAGCA